TCGAGATTGAAAATTACTCTTAAGATGCCTTATGCAAAATCGATGGAAGACTTGAGGCTCCTGAAATCGCCGCAACTCCTGCAAACTAGTCAAGATTCCTTTTGCTCTATCAGAGATAACACAAATACCCTCTCTATTCTTTATCACATGTGCACTCAAATTTCTAAAAAACCACTTTCATGCCTCTTTCGATTCTTTGTCTACAATAGCAAACGCTAGAGAAATTTAAACAGGGCGACATGTTTGGAATCCATCAATGCATGGCTTGAAAGCCCAAAATACAAATTTAAAAGTTTTTACCTCCAATGAACTCATAGACTCTTCATGTTTCCATTCCACAATTGTTCCATGATTAAAGTGTTGAAAAGCTGCAAAAAATTTGGGTAAGTCACTAAATGATTTCTCAAAGTTACCATACACCAATTCAAATGCACGTTGACGTCCAAGCCACGCCTTTCTGTATGTAACTTGATGGCCAAATTTTTCGTGAACCTTCGAAATGACATCTACCACCAAAACTTTAGGATTATGTTTAATTTGATTTAGAATCAAGGATGCAATCAAATTGGTATTTAGGTTGGCGTGACCTCTAGAAAGCCCTTCAGTTTCACATCTATGATTTTCAATATATTTTCCCATTTTCCAAAGATTATCTCCAACCTTTCGTCCTCGAAGAAACCACAAGCAGCCCAATAAAGTATAAAACTTGCATCTCACAACCCATAGACTCTTGTTTGATGTTACCACCTTGAACTTTTTATTTTTTTTCAAACTCCAAATCGCCACAGCCCGTTTTAGTTTTTCTTTACTACTAAAACACATACCTTTTTTCAACTCTTTTTTGGCATCCTCAGACCAAACTGAACAATGTTCCATCTCAGATTCACATGTAGACATGAAAATGTCTTCCTCATTCTCCAAGGTCCTGAAATAGGGTACATCATGATTTTGCATTTCAGGCACATCCTGTTCACATCGATTAGAATGATTTATACCAATATCATTTTGAGAAAAATCTCTAATATCAACTATATCTTCATCAGGTTCACTTTCATCATCATCTTTTGAAGGTTCATCTTCCTCCGAACTTTCATCACTAATTTCAGCATTTACATCATTATGTAAATCAATGTCGGTCTCATTTTCTCTGTGAAAAAAATATTAGTTAAATTCTAACAAAGTTGTGAAACTAATTAAATAATAAACTACTCAACAAGTTATGTTCACAAATTGTTACACTAAAATTAAGTAAAATATAAACTTGTTACTTTACCTGGCCTCATATTCCATGTGATTACTATCAAAATGTCTTTGGCTACTTGAGCCTTCACCAAATGGTCGATGGTCATGCATAGACAATTGTTGGAATGATGGTGGAATAATCGGTTCTGTAAAATGAGGTTGACTGATCGTGGCAAATCCATAATTTTGAGCCAATAGATTCATGTGAAAACCATGTTGACCACTAATTTGAAATACATCATTTTGATTTCTTGATTTGGTCATTACATACATCTCCAAAACATTTATATCAATTTTATCCGCAAATTTTTGAGGTATGAGAAAAAATTGTTGCAAGGATTGATCATTCTCAATTTTAAACTCAATAAACCTTGCATTGCTACCTTGAATTGAACATGGATATTTTCCAGTAATATTCATTTCAATATTTTCACTATTTGTTTCCATCTTCTCATGCAATAATCCAACCAATTCAACATAATTTGTTGAAGTAGACATACTAATAATCATTCTAGCACATTCATTATACCTAAATCCATTCATTTCAGTAATTATTTCGCCACCCCAATATAAAGCAACCATCACATTATGCTCAAAATTTGCCATTTTGATTCCTACACATAAAAATAAGACATTTTATAATCAATAAACCAGAAAAATATTTATAAAACTGTGATAAAATAATAACATAATATGATATACTAACTTGACTTATTTTATTCATACCTATGAACTTTTGTGAAAATTGTTTCAATAATGGGCTACACAAGAAAAAACTTGGCTGAATGTTGAAATGTGTTGAACATTTATTTGTTTAAACAAGGTTTATATAAAAAATCACGTGGTCAGTTTGAAAAATGAAAAAGTATAACTTTAGCTGAGTGTCGTACTTGCTAGTCACGTTTTAAAGTTAAAACGTGACTAGCAGTAACGTTTTGTAATCTGCAAGATTCTGCATTGCCAGGATTGATTCTTAATTTGCAGGCCCGTGATTGAATTCTAAAGAAATGTTACGTAGAGTACCGTTTTACACCTAAAACGTGGTTGAGAGTAACGAAACATAAAACGTACTTTTGAGTAACATTTTAAGTGTGAAACGTTACTTCCAGTTACGTCTTACACTTTGCAAGATTTTCGCAGGATTCGATTCCTAATTTGCAGTGCCCGTGATTAGATTCTCAATAAATGTTACTGTGAGTGACGTTTTAGCCATAAAACGTGACTCAGAGTAACGAAATATGAAATGTCACTCATGTATAGCTGTAAAACGTGTATAGCTGTAAAACGTGTTTGTCAGTAACGAAGTCTAAAACGTTATTGACAGTCACGTTTTATTGCCGTCAGCTTTTTGCCGTTTTGTACCGTTTTGTCCTTGAATAAAATAAAGCCTAAAACGTTATTGTGAACCACGTTTATACTAGTTTCGTAAAAAAAATTAAAAATGTACTATTTTTGTGAATTGATTTTAATAATGGCTTATTTTGGTCAAAGATTCCCGTTTGTGCTGCCGTGTCTTGCACCATATTTGCGATTACTAAAGCACTAAAGACGATCATGTACAACATTTTGTCCATGTCTTAATTTTTTGGTAACGTTATTTTTTGCACTTTATTGGTAATTGCTAGTTTGATAGGGAATTAAGGATGAGATGTCTATATATAGCTAGCACAATATGATTCTCTATATATAAGAGAAGGGATTTTGAATTGGTCTAAACTTTCAACTTGCGTGGTGCTTGGTTATGACTTATGACTTTCTATTATAGCAAGAGTGGTGGGAAATCAAAGTAGGAATTTAATGTTGGTTGGACCATCAAGAAAAAAATGAGCAGGAAATTAGATCTCGAAGGAGAAAAGTAGAAGGCGGGCTAATTCAACTCCCTAAGTAATAAAAAATAGTATATAATTAATGAAAGTCAATACACACTTGACTTGAACCTTTCATATTACGGTACATGAGACTTATAGCTATTTTTCTTTACAACAATTACGAAATTGATTTACAGCTGATAGTTATGCTAAGTTTCTCTACTAAATTAAGAATTACCAATTAATTAAGGGCTAATATTTTAGTTTAGATTAGTTAATGGCAAGGGAACTTACCAGATAATATGATAATGATAAATATAAAGATATGAATGCATCCAAAGAACATTTATAGAATTAAACTATTTCGGATTGTTTTTAAAGGCAAATTTAGATAAATAGCGGGATAACTTATCCGAAATGGTAGATAAAAACATATCCTGAGAAGTAAATGTTTTAATGAGGTGATCAAAACCAACACTAATGGAAGTTTCTTAAAGGACATAGGAAGAGCAGGTAAACTGCCGTATTAGTGGTGTGGTAAGGAATGGGATTTTTTTTACCAAAGTAACTTTTTTTAAATTTTTTTTACAAAATTAATATAAACATTTTTAATAACATTTTAGGTTATATTTTATTAAAAAAATTTAATGACAAAAAGAAAAAAAGATTGAGTAGTAACGTTAAGATTCACTCCAAGTAACGTTACTTCATCATATCTTTGTCTCTTTGTCATTGAATATTTTTAAAAAAATTTAACCTAAAACTTTACTGAGAAATATGTTCATAGTTGTTTTGTAAAATTCTAAGGAATGATAATGGCGATGTAAGTTATGCATTCTCTGTTGCAGTAGCAACACTGAGGCCGAGGCAAAAACAACAATGTATGGAGCCAATTGGCAAACATTTGGATGGAATTAGACTCTCTGATCATTGTCGACATGATAAAGAATAGATTCACCAACAATTTGAAACTCTATATGATCATAGAGAGCACTATACAGAGTCTAAATCAAGCAACGATACCATCTCGCTTTGGTGAATATTGACTTCTGAAAAATAAAGTGAATACAAGTTAAACGGTTAGTTCATCGAAACAGGGGAACAATTGGAATCGTTTTAATATCGTACTAGCTAGAAATGTATCGCAGTGTTAAGGAGAGTAAAATATATTTATTTTTTTGTTCATATATGATCACTTTGAGATTTAAAATAATTTCTTTCGTTTTCTAAGAAAATGGATTAACTAATATGCGACATATTAAACCTAAGTACCCCTGATGATCGTTATGTTAATAATCTTCTTGGACTTTGTTTAAAGCTGTTTTCCTTGATATGTTCTTTCTCCTTGAGATGAGGGAGATAAAAATACTTGAATTTATCAACTTTCGTCAAAAAAATATGAGTATGAAGCAGTATGCTTTGAAGTTCACTCAATTGGCTAAGTATGCTCAAATGGTTGCAGGGACTCTAGAACAAGAATAATTAGTAAGTTTGTTTTAGAGACAATGTGGGGATTATCTTTCGACAACCTAGACCTTTTCCATTGAATGGACTTGAATGTTACATCATGAATTTACTGTCAGTGTGATTTGTGAAACACCAACTTTAGAGGCTTTAAAGCATGGAAATTTAAATTGGGTCTGTGGGACTTATACGTATATCACCCAGGTTTCAACTTAATCAAAGATAAATTTATTTATTTATTTATTTTGTATCACTGGAGATGGTAAAACTATCATCTTTACATGCTTGGTATGAATTACTGCAGAATTATTCACCATCATTATTTATATTGGATCAACAAATATTGGTATGATAAAATACACCATAACTGTTACTTATAGATTGTTTATTCGATACTACAAGGGGACATGCCTACTGTACCAAAATAATTTGCACTGATGATGATCGTAAAAACAATACAACAATTTTACTGCCACTCACAAAACAAAACTCAATCCAATAATTAAAAAAAAATCCATCACATTATTATTACGTATAAACTAGGAAGCTCAACACCTCCTTAATTTGCCCAATTTAAAGTAAAGTGGCCAAGGCAATGGTGGACAGACTGAGTACAAAACTGGCCAACACGGTCGTTGAGGACGAAGGCGTAGGAGGAGGAGGAGGAGGAGGACGACCACCTGGAACAGAATTTGAAGGTCCTGCAGCAGAGGGTGTAGGTGCACAAGCTTCTGGTTGTCGCACAACAGGAGTTGTTGGATTGCTTGGGTTAGGCGGGTTGGCTTCTGGAGTACCGGTGCCGCTGGAAACTGTAATAGCTAATTTCTGGCCATTTAGGCAGTGCATACCAAAAGTGCAAATATAGTAGTGTTCTCCAGTAGAGTCTAGAGTCATATTTGCTGGTCCTGTCATTATGGCATTCCCTATGGCATTCTGTGAATTGCAACCATCGAACGATGTTTTTTCTACTTGCAGCACGTCATGTCGGTCGGTCATGAAATTGAATACTGTATAAAATACGAAAAGTAACATAATCAGACACCGGAGGTGTGCTAATACAAAATAAGCTGAAAGATATCAGAAAATGGAAATTGATTAATTACACATACCTAGTGTGTCACCAACGCTGAAGGTTTTCCCAGCAGCCCAAGTTGTATAAGCTGCCGCGCCATTGCTTGGTATGATCCAACCCATATCGTCCCCAACCACATGCACCGTTTGGGCTGTTGCGTCTTGCATCATACTTGCAACGGCTAAAACACCAAAGACCATCATGCACAACATTTTGTCCATATCTTAAGTTTTTGGTAACTAATTTCTTAATTCTTTTCAAAAGACGTTTTTTGGAAGTCACTAGTGAGGAAATTGATGATTACTACGTACTCTTGTCTTGTTAGGGTAGGATGAGATGACTAGATAGACAAAATGGTTCTGTATATATAAGGGAAGGGATTTTTGAATTGGTCTAAACTCTTAAATTGCGTGGTGCTGGGTCTTGAGTTTCTATTATAGCAAGAGCGGTGAGGAATTTAATGTTGATTGAAACATTAACAGGGAAATGAGGTAGAAAGAAGAACCCGAAAGAGATGTTGGAAAATGGGGCTAATTCAACTCCCAAAATAATCAAATGGAGCAATTAGTAAATGAACACTTGACTTGGAAGTTGAACCTTTCTTTTTACGATACCTGGACTTGCACAGTTTTGCAATACGATAGACGAAAATGATTTGCAACTGTAAAGTAAGGTTCCTCCTTTGATTATCAGAAAAATTATTGCTTCTTACATACCTCCTCACCCTTTAAAAAACTACTGTACATATTTTTGATAGCTTTAATCCTTCCTGTGAGAATTTTTGTTTAAACTACTACACTTTGTTACTATAAAAACAAGGCATAATACATATATTGACCCCTAAACTTGGCTTCAAATTTTAACTTTGACCTCCAATTTTCATAATGCACAAATAGGCACTTTAACTATCCTACCTTTAAATAAATAAACACGCGATTTTTGGAGCCAAAAGCGTGAAATGCACACGCTGCCACGTGTATTAGTGACCCACTCAATGGCTGCCAACTATTCAATGCATATGGGCCCGTTTTCCTGTCTATTTGACACCTTTTCAAATAATTTCTCTTTATTTTTGCCTCACAACTTCTTCCTTCACTTTCATTTTGTGATAAATTAATATTTGAAAATGTCAATTATTCAATTTATAATTTATTTGTCTTATTTCTTTTTTTAATTTATGTGTATTCATAGATTACATTTAAGATACTATAAATTATTAGACTTAATATTTAAAAAAATTTATTACAAATTTAAAAATTACGTAATATACACTATTAATTACAATAATTACTAATTTAAAATATTTTTTCAATCTAATAAGAGCCTACAAACACACTATACGTTATATTTAAAAGTACTATAAATCATAATTAAAATATATTTTTTTTAGAAAATTTCATGTTGACTCTTGAAATTCTATTGGTGACACATGAATTTGAATAGATGGAACAATATATATTATTGAAAGTTAACAATACTATAAGTTATTCGAAAATGACGTTAATGATTTTTATAAATTATAACAAATTAGCAACTAAAATATTTTTGAAAAAACATACAAAAAATTAGTTGATGAATCAGCCACCACACCGTGGACATGTATGCTTTTTGTGATTAAAATTGAGTTTAAGGGTTATTTTGGTCATTTAAGGATTTTTCTTTAAACTTCAAGCTTTATTAATAGTGATGTATTCATTTTAGAGTTAACATGAACATTTACTACCATATAAATATATATAATTTATTCAAATTTAAAATTTAAAACTATTTATTTAACGTCAATTAAAAATTAACTTTTAAATTAATTATTAGCACGGGCTCTTCATCACTAGTATATAATATAATAAGCGGGAATAGAGAGGACATTGGGGTCGACACGTGTTCCTTTTTCCTTCTGGACAAAAAAAGACTATACAGACAGGAGGTCAACCTGTAAAAAAAAAAGGGGGACGCATATTTTACTATTGAAGGATGCGTGTTTCTTTTAAATTTCTTTTACCATACTAAATAATTGTATAAAATATTATAAATCACGATAATTAATTACTTAAATATTTAAAAGATATAAAAATATATAAAAGATCTGATTGACTCTTCAAATTTTACCGGTGAGGCATAAATTCGGACAAATGAAATAATATATATTATTTGAAAATTTCTTAGAAAGTACTATAAATTACAGTAATTAACAGCTAGAAATATTTCAAAGACAAAAAAAATTGATTGAATCTCAAAAAAAAAATTTAGTACTACACGTGTTCCTTTTTCCTTCTTGCCAAAAAAAAACTTCATTATAATTTTTTTTCGTAATAACAAAAAAATTTATTAAATGTCACTTGCATTTTGCAGTAAACAACAAATAATGCAAAAAAGAGGGGAAAATTGTTGAAAAAAATATAAAAAGGGTTTAATTGTCCTTTCAATTCTTTTTTTACTGTTGACCCCCTGAATTTTTACATCTGACGCGCCTAATTTGAGTGTATTTCACGCATTTTGCCAGGTAGGATTCGAGTGTTTTTTTGTTTAAGTTTTGGATAGTTAAAGTGCCTATTTGTGCACTTACAAAGTTAAAGGTCAAAGTTAAAATTTGAAGCCAAGTTTAGGAGTCAATATATGTATTATGCCTAAAAACAATCATGAATCCATGATACAAAATTGCAATCGACTTTCTCTTAATTAGCTAGAATTTCAATCTCCAAGTTTACACCGTCTTACTCTTACTTAGCTGTGAGTTCTAACCATCTGAACTCGAGACACCGTTATTTCTTAAGACATTTTTTAAGTTATATATTGAATTTCAGGCGTACCAATAAACAAGAAAGATCACAATGAACAAGTTGACATTTATTTATGTTAGTAAGATACTAGAAGACCACAATATATCACAAAGTACAGATCACAGAAAGATCAGGAAAGTTGATCTCTAAAACGCTAATTCCTAAACTACTAAGCAAACTATTATAATCGTCCTAGTACGGATTAAACATGCACTGGGCGAAGGCCTAATTTATTTTAGATGCTACACTCAACAACTAATGGTAGCAGCAGATTGATGTTGTGGGGTATGTGCTCGCTCTGGCTGGTTAATCTGGCCATTATCCATAACCAGGCCAGCCCTGTTCTTATTTTTCTCCTCCTCCACCGAACTAGGCTCTTCACGGAAACCACTAGCTTCTCCATAACACGTCTCTCCTCCTGCGACATTTCTTTCTGGTGTACCCTTATCTGGAATGTCGTGATTCATGTTATCTGCTCCACTAATGTCTATATCAATCTGGGACTCAATATTTTCCCCGTATCCTGGTTTCTCCCCGACTTCTATTCCTGCTTCAGCACCATTTGTTTCTCCAAATGCAGCATTTGCAAACACTCCCTTCAAATAGTCCTTGTCCATGGAATCATTCCAGAAGTCGGCATCAATTGCTATAGTCTCCTCTGTAACATTTTCAGCCATTTTATCTCCATCCTCAAACTGAATGTCATTGCTGGCCTCAGTTTTCCTATCTGAAACCTCTGTACCAGCCATTTCCTCTTCTTTTTTATGCTCTGTGTTTTCCTTATTAGCGCCCATCTCATCCCCCTTGTCCTCCATTTCAACTTCTACTATAGTCTCCTCTATGCCATTTTGAGCCAGTTTGCCTCCATCCTTGGCTGGAACGTCATTACTGGCTTCATATTTCTGCCTCTGCAAGACATCTCCACCAGACAATTCCTCTTCTTTCTTGTGCTCTGTGTCCACCATTTCATCTTCTACTACATTCTCCTCCTTCTCCAAGCCTTCCTTTTCTTCTATGGCAGATTCCATGTTTTCCTTCTCTATATCTGCGATATCCATTTCCTCTTCTTTTTTTGTAGCATAAGACGTACGCTGTCGCTTCTTTGCCGGCTCAAGCACTGCTGGAAGTGGCATTGCCTTAACCTTCTGACTGATCCGTGCTGATCTCCTCGGAGCCTCACCAGTAGTCCAATCAAATTCTGACATACCAGGATTTCCATTGTGTGTTTTCAGGTACTTCTCCAACTGCCTCTTATTCCTTATCTCCTCTCCTGTTGGAGCAACAAATACAACCTCATTCTTCTTTGCTCTAACACCCTTTTTCGGCATGAGCTGCAAATAAACAGATAAGAGGAAAATATATAAGGTGTCCAACTATGCCTCACAAGAAATACTTAACTATCCCTTGTTGAAGGATACAATCCAGGGAACTTTCAAATACTGATTTCTCAAACAAGCTAAGTAGGACACCATACAGAATTCTTCACTCATCAATAACGATATCACGAACATGGATACGGATATCTAGCTCGTGAAGAGAATAATTAAAGACAGAAGAAAACAGACACCGAAAAGAAAGAGAACTATTAATTACTTCCCATTTGGTACCTCACAATTCCCTCCGAACTTTTGAGATGGCGCAAGTCATGGTGGTTGTCAAGTGTTGAACCATATAAGCTTATTTAGATTTCAAGCATAATGAACAGAAACAGTAGTATTATTCATATTGTAATTTTTGTATGGTTGGTTTACTAGTTATTTCTAAATGAAATTTACACTCACATTCCACTATATTGTCATCCACAGTTCATGTTTAACTTGTAGTGACTAGAAAATAGAAATTTCTTCAAGAAGCTCAGAAGAAACTCCAGCCTTTGCAACAACAAAAATCAGCTTCTGTTACATAACCAAAAACTAAACTTTGTTACCTTAATCTAGCTTGTTAAACAGATCACCAACTCTTTCTCTCTCTCCCAAAGTCAACTCTTCAATCAACAACAGGAACAAACAAGAGAAAATCACTTAAATCTGGTATTCCATATCTGATCAGACTGAAGTAAGAAATAAATCGAGGCTACAAAGTGAAGAATATACTCAACTACTAACTGAAATAAGGGAAAATAAATAGAATTAATAACTGAAAGCCATATGAAACAATTTGAGTGGAACTATAGCATACTCAAAACAACCAAAAGAGTAGTAACATACATAGCCTTGTAGAGCAGAAGAACAAACAACACTAGAAATATTGGTAAAAAATTACCAGTTTCTTCCAAGACAGAGGCGCCGCAGGAAGCTCCACAGGCGAAAGATCCATATTGTTACTTGCCATTATTGTCTTCTCCAAATATCAAAACTCAAAAACTTGCATCAGTAAAACCATTTATGAAGCTTGCTTGACATATACTTAAAAGACGTACGAAACCGCCTCAAACACGCAACAAATTTATCACACGTCGCACAAGTGGACGGATAGGATTTGTTGAATAAAAGCTATTATGGTATAGGGTGACTATTCTCTTTTTCTGTGATTTATGAGGTTAGACACGTGGTGTCTGCTGGCTCAATCAAACGACGTGCTCCATTTTTGGATTAGTTCATGCCTTACTTTTTTTTGTTTTCCAGTGGATAACGTTCCCCAAAACTCTATTAACTGAATTTAAATATTGGATTTTGGATCCGGTAGCGCAAGTCATGTTTCTTACGCAATCTCCTTTTATTACTACTACTACTACTAAACCAGAGGCGAAAACAAAAGGACTGTTAAATCAACCTTGGGAGTTTACTGTTACAAACATTTAGCATATTTTTGGATAGGTTTGAAATTAAGTAGATTGCTCGCAAATAGTTTAAGTAAACAAATTGTTGTTACGATATCAAACTTTGAAAATGACCTTTTATTTCTGCATTATTTAATAGTGTATTTTAAAGATATATATGTGTTCACGTGAACATAAAAAATAATGCATAATTATAAATAGTAATGTGTCCACATGTAAATCTTTAAAATATATTATTAAATAGTTCAGGGGGTAAAAAATACATTATTAAATAGTTCAGGGGTAAAAGTCCTCCATAAAATTTGGTATCGTAACAGCAATTTCGACCAAAGTTAAAGTATTTTTCAGACCTTTTTCCCTTCAAATTATTTTGTTTGAAAATAAATAAAAAATCTCTCTCTCCCCCTTTTTTCTTGGACTATATCTTTTGTTGTTTTGATATTTTATTACTAGTATTATCTTTTGATGTTTTGATAGATCTTTATTATTATTTTATAACAGAAACATATATATCAGTAAATATTTTTTAATCCTCTCAATTATTTACCTGACAAGAAAATAGAATAAGGAAATAATTCTGATAATTAACAGTTTATTCAAATATCACTTCATCATTATTCAGTTGAATTGAACACTTCTGAGAATCTTCCAACACACTCCGCAATATGGTGGTAGCCCAAGTCTATATTGGACTAGTTCAAGCATGGATTAACATGAAATACAAGCCCAAGAAAATGGCCCAATCTAAAAGAGCAAACAAATCGATGAACTTTGATACATGCTAATGAGAGGTAGCAAGTATTCAATCAAATATTTAAAGGTACCGGGTAAGATGCCCCAACACTACCTTTATAAAAATAATAATCTGGAGTTGCATACTACAGCAAGAACACCTGGAACTTGTGTTTTATGGAAAATGGTGAGTTTTAAGCAAACTACAAAACAACTCACTTTATGCATTATTATTTGAGAAACAACGCGAAGTATACAAATTATAATACTCGGTTATCACTTATCAGACATCACAAAATAAAAATTAGTTAGAGCTTGTAAAAGAGACGGAAGGAAAACTCTTCATAGTCGAGAGCAATCTATTTCATAGCTACTTATATACTAGCAGTACTTATTAGTTATCTAAACCATGTGCTCAAGAGTCTGATAAACATGGGAAGAGAGGCTGTGAAACTAAGAAGCAGCAGTCAAGGGAGGTCGATGAGACGGTGCACCAAAGAAGTTCTGGGCTGGTGCTGAATTCTCATGTTGTATACCAAATTGCCTACTCAGTTCATCGTCCTCACCCTCATTCTCATATTCTTCACCAGCATCCCACATGAATCGAGCATAAGAGCCCAGTACGTAGCTGCAATAATACCCGTTCGTCACGTTAGGAGTCAAAATAAAACATGTCATCCTAAGGTTAGCAGGGTCAATCTGTTGAAATATGTGACCTTCGCTATTAGACAGATGTTATTTTTATTTATTTAGTTATGTCTTTCAACACACCCCTCACAAGTGGCATGTTCTTTTCATGAACCAAACATGTGAAAATTCTTTTTGATAATGGATGAGACTCGATTTCCAGAGCTCTTGCTTGCTTTGATATCATGCTGATTAGGTTCAAAGTCCAAATCTTTTAATATGATATCAAAGCATGCAAAAGTCTTGAGATCAAATTTCACCATCACTTACACGTGTTTGGCCATGAATAACAAATCAAACCCACACGGAAGGGACGTGCTAAAAATATAATTAAGTAAATAAAAGTATGGGCAAATGGACCACCAAGATATTTTTGAGAGAGAGGACAAATAGCTCCAAAAAAAGTGGCCCATCTGGTAGAGAGCCCATTCATTCAGGCTGGAATCAATTGGAGGTTCCATCAATCATAAACATGATAACAATGCCCAGAAAGTGACATATATAACAATCTTTATCCCACTGAATATTTCAAATCTTATAAAGGAAATGCAAAGCATATGCATACCAGTCATTAGGGTCAGATTTCACAGCTCGATCAAAGTAAGTGTGGGCACGAGCAGCGTCTTTCTGAGTTTGCCATATCAGTTCAGCGTACAGAGACAACGCATTACCATCATTCGGGTTTGCTAAAATCGCTCTTCCGCAGTATTCCTCAGCTTTTTCTAAATCAGCTTTAACCTGTTTGCATCAATAATTGGCATCCCACGAATCAATAAATCAGTGTAGTAGTAAAAAATGAATCAATTAAACAACTCAAAACAAAATTAGGCGGATGGAGCTGTTTTGAACCTATCAAGTCAAAATTCTGGATCTGACTTTATAAAAGGCAGAGGAAATTTCATCTAGAATTTTTTTACCTCTTTCAAGAATCTGGCGTAATTGGCCAGAAGGAGACCATTTCCTGGGTGGGCTTCGATCATTTTCTGGTAATAGGCATCTATACTATCAGGTCCATGCCAACTATTTGAATCATGAGAATCAGACCCATCTCCTCCATGCGACCCTCCGCCACCGCAAACTTTACCTCCTCCTCCTCCTCCACCTACACCACCCGCCACCAGAGACTGCAACACCCTCCCTTTCTCCTCAACCGCCACACTAGCCTCCTCCTCCGCATTCCCCAAACCAGAATTCGACAACAACCTCCTCACCTCCGTCGAACCCACTTCGTTATTCTTTAGCTTCAGAGTCTTCGCCTCTCTTTTTGTTCCGTTTTTGTTCTTTTTCGGAACAGCTGGATCTCGTGGGTCCAACTCGCACATACACCTATTAGGTGCATGTTTTGTCGGAGACGTATGTTTCGCCGGAGTTTCATCCGGACCAAACGACGTCGACATTAACACAGATCGTGTCCTGTTCAATTGCTGGGTCGTTATGGGTAATAAATCGGATTCCGGCGACGACCCACATGATTTCGGTTTCCATGAATTAAGTAAAGGGGTTGATGAGCTTCTCAATAACATCTTATTCGTCGGATCAATTTGCAGATCGGTCTATCTGATTCAGAAGCAAAAGGCGAGTAACCTCCGCTGCCCTCCTTTGGGGGAGAGAGTGTGAAGTTGTTGGCACAATGGATTGAATGGTTTTATAGAAGCAAAATAATCGCTGATAAGAGTAAATCTAAAACCGTTGATTGGACAAATAAAGTGGAAACGACTTAAAGTCTAGATTAATACTATAAATCTGCATGTTGAATATTTTAAGACGTGTAAATCAACGGTTCTAAATAAGCTCCCTAAGCCAACCATACTGCCGTGGGCCAAGTTCCAAATATGATTGAGCCTCTACGTGGTGACCCCACGATGGAAACTTACATAAATCTATCTTTTCTAGGTTATTCATCGACATGATTGAAACATTCCTTTGTTTTATTACTCCCTCCGTCCCATTTTATGTGACACCATTTCCTTTTTGATCAATCCAAAAAAAAAAGTATCAATTTTCCTAATATGGTAAGTATTTAAAGTACAATTCATCTTTTATCCTTGTTGATCTCATTTAATTTTAAAATAATACTTCAATACATTTATGAGGAGAGAGAAAAGTGAGTCTACTTTTTAAAGGCTAATTTGGTAAACATTTCAAAGTCTTTATTTATTTCTTAAATTCCGTGTCCGATCAAATGTTGCCACATAAAATGGGACGGAGGGAATATTAAAAATAGTTATCTCATATTAATTTGTCCATTATATTAAATAAAAATATATGCATATACTATTTAGACACTTAAGCACTATATGTTATACACATAATCAGATAGTCCAAATATATTGGTCAATTATTTTCACTCCCACGATCACTTGACAGTAGACTATGTAAAAATTAGCATTCGTTTTCACTCTCAAGATCACTTGATTAGTAAAAATTAGCCCGAATGGTCAATTTTGGGACCGGTTTAAAATGTAATCGTGAGATATAAACTTCTTAAGGAAAAAATAATACTATATGAATAAGAAAACTGTCCCTAACTTAAACACTAACAACTTCATAAAACTTTGATAGAGTTTAAATTCTATTTATGGGTTCAGTTCAGACTTTTTTCAAATTAATAGAGTTTAAATTCTATTTATGGGTTCAGTTCAGACTTTGATAGAGTTTAAATTAATGGATCGTGTTTAATCTTTCACACTTGAAGGGCAAAAATTTGTATAATTTCAAATTTCATGGCATTCAAATTTTTGGAACTAAGTTCTACAAATTTGTTGTCCTTAAGCTTCATGAATGATTCATATTGTTCAAAATCTTTTTTAGTCAAATTTCAAAGATACATGGAATTCAAACTTCACAATTAAATTGTGAAAGTTAGTTGGGAGTTCTAAACCAAACTTTTATCAATTCAAAGTTGAAACTCCAGGTTCATGGGAATTCAAGGTAATAAATGTTCAAAAACTCAAATAACGTTTCCCTATAGTTTTCCCGCGTTTAAACTTGACGTATTTTTGCCATTAGTATCCTCACGTTAAAAAGTAGTTAAGATACTGAATTATTTTCCAACACTTCCACAAAAAAGGACTTTCAAAAATGGTGTTCACTATTGAGAATCTACGGCCCAGAAAGGTCGATAATTGAATAACATATGCAATTGCTCCATCTTTATATTACACACT